AGTGGCGGAAAAGGGCTTCCACACACGTGAGAATGATAAATGTACAATTTTCTGTTGTAACCTGCAAACTGAACAGCAATGTAACGACCCTTTCTCACAAAAGAAAACGTTTGGGTCCGTGTTCCCTGCCCAATGAGCGCTCCCGGAGCGCAAGGACACAAATTCCAATTTTGGCACCACTTTCGAAAGAAATGAAACTGAAAGTGTCCTACTAGAAAAGCCCCTAGAATAAAACCTGTCTGATGTTTTTATTTCATTTCCTTTCAGTTCAAGACAAATACAACACAAGTCGTTAGTTAAACTCATAGACCTCCTCTGAACTTTTTCATTAATTTTTTATCTTCTTGGCACCCGTGCGTCATGATCCGAGTGAGAATGTTAAACTTTATCACTGTTTCCGTTTGATATCTGCACTTGGATCCACTTCCACGTAAGCTCCTGTTGCACGGTGCTCCAAGCAAACCGTGTTCACTTCTGAACATTTATATTCATAATAACATGAACAGGAGGAAATGAACGTTAGAGACATTTGACCTTAATTGCTTCTCCCAAAATAATAAGGATCACTTTAAGAGTGTGAGATGATAAACAAACTGATCCGTGCATCGTCACATGCTGCAGTTTTCCAGCTTCTTCTCAAGAATGACCCATCTTACTGGTTCTTCAGCTATTAAATTAAAAAGACGGTTCATTAAAAAATATATGCAATTTAAACTAGCACACATAATAATAGTAATAAGGATAAACTAAGGAGCTTGGAAAGAAAAGCTTATAGACTTCTTTAAGTTGCTTGAAGACGTTTCACCTCTCATCTGAGAAGCTTCTTCAGTTCTAGGGTCAAATAGTGGAGAGTCCTACATTTAAGCCCTGTAGGAGTATCTTCCCGAGAGGGACAAAAGCTCATTGTGAAACCCAGCCCCACCCTATCATGTGCTTTCATGCAACTTAAAGAAGTCCAGATGCTTTTCTTTCCAAGCTCCTTAGACTACGATGACATGGATGACTGAGAACTTTCACAGACATAATAATGATAAAGGAACTCTGCACAGCATTAATGAATGACACAGCAGTAAGGGAAATCGGTCCAGTTTCCAAGCCTGTTCAAAATGCAAAGACAAATCTTCCACTTTAACCTTTCTGATGGAGGAGAGAAGGGTGTACACTGGGCGATAGCACATGTGTAACCTTAAGTCTCTAGAGAGGGTGTGAACCACATTTTATTTTTAATTTAATAATAAAATGGCGAAAAAGTTTCATTTTTTTTTCCTGTGAAAGGGAAAAAACTACAAAACATTGGTGAATGTAAAACATTTTAATAAAGAAGCCCAAAGACTGGTTAAAAAATATATCTGTCTCACAAACAGAACATAAAGCGTACAGTCAGTTTTTATTAATTGGAAACAAAACAAGACTGTTTAAAGTTCCTATGTATAGCATTTTGATGTCCTTTACACATTTTGGTTTTTTTTATGTCAAAAACAACAGAAACACAAATTTTTGTAACAAATGAAAACTCTCTTCTCTAACACATTGAAACAGGAACAGCCGGGTTCCTAATCTAATGGCCATGATGCTATGGGTATGATGCTCCTAATCTAAATGCTCAGAAATCAGAGATCCAGGGCTGTCTTGAGCTCTTTGTTCTGTGGTGCATTGTCCTGGAAATACAGGTCAGCATACTGCAGGATGTGATCAACAGCACTGAGAAGCAGCACATCTGTGTTTACATCCAGGTCCAG